GAAAGAATTAACAGGCTAGATATTAACCTGATAATATTTATATAATTATTAAATAATTAAAAATTTATTATTCCAGTACAGTTAAAATGTAACAGAAAATGGACAGAAGAAATACAAATAATTGAGATGTGTAAATTACATTAAAAATGGACAAAAGAGACAATTTTATGTTTCACAAATAATCATCCACCGACGCTATGAAATCTTAGAGTCTAAACTCTTCTATTTGTATTAAAAATAAAGAGACATCAAATCTAAATTGAATGACTTAATTTTTTATTGTTCTATAGCATTAAAGCCAGAACACAAAACAGAGTAGAGTACTAAACTAATTAGTTTGTTACATTTATAGAGCTACAATGCTAATGAACATGAGTGCCTACTACAAATTATGCGTCAATTTAAAAGCCACATTTACTTAAAAAAGGTCAATTTCTTTGAATATTTAATGGAGTTCTTATATTAAGCATGATGATATGGGATTAACGCTAAATGGAAAACAAAGAATCTATTTAAAAAAACAGTGTTGACAGTAAATACCACAACGTGAAGAAATTATCAATATCAATGGATGTGAACGTGCTAAACATTTTCTAGGCGGTCCCATATAATAAAATGCGCCACACAAACACTAATGGCCGGCGTACCCAGTCATTTTCTCGTGGAAAATATTGGAGCTCTAAATATTGGCCATGCATGTGTTGCACCCTATATAAATCCCATAATCAATTCTTAATTTTATCAAACAAAAACATCTTCTAAGTAATAAGCATAGCTCTTTGTCTAAAAATACATCTTTCTCTGCCATGGCAATCTACTTGAGCTTCTCGTCTTTACCCAGCCATCGTTTTAATATTCATACAAAAATTGCAGATAATGGAGCTAATAGACCATCTCTTGTTGCGTGCAGTGCTACTCCTCAGAAGTGGACCATTCTTGAAGAAACTTCCGAACTCTCTAAACCCCGTCAAACCATTCTGAATGAGCAAAGTTCTAAGGTTATTTTTGTTCTAAAACTATTTTTTATTATATATATATATATAACCAGATTTACTTGCAGGATGAATTTCCCATGGAATATGAACAAAAACTGAAGGATGTCAGGGAATTATTGAAATCAGAGGAATTAGAAAATAAAATAGAAACCTTAATGTTGGTGGATACTATCCAGCGACTTGGTGTTGACTACCATTTTCAGGAAGAGATTGAAGCAGTTCTTCAGCGACATTATACGGAAGCCACCACTTCTTTTGACGGATACTTCTATTATAGTCTTCATGATCTTTCACTTTTCTTCAGACTCTTGAGAGAACATGGTTTTTTCATTCCCGCAGGTTGAACTTTTTTCTCTTTTTGTTTGGTTCTTGTTTTTGATAATTACTTGAGCAAAAAGCGGTTATTGGCCGTAATCAAATTAATTGCATGACACAGACATATTCAACAAATTCAAGGGAAAAGATGGGGTGTTTGAAGGGAAATTAAAGCAAGATATTAGAGGATTGATGGAATTGTATGAAGCTGCTCAGCTAGTGACAGAGGGAGAAGATATTCTTGATGAAGCAGCAAAATTTAGTAGCCAAATAGTTAGTAACAGATTGAAGCATCCTTATCACAAGAGCATTGCAAGATTTACAGCAAAGAAGTATATTAGAGATTTCCAAGGCATAAGTGGATGGGGGACAACTTTGAAAGAGCTCGCAAAAATGGATATTTCAAGGGCACAGACCGCCAACCAACAAGAACTGATCCAAATTTCCAAGTAAGAAGACATAACACGTTTGAAATTTTCTCGACTATTTTAATGAAAACTGAAAAGGGGATCTTTTGTAATCTTAGGTGGTGGAAAGACCTTGACTTGGCTCAGGAATTGGAGCTGGCTAGGAACCAACCGTTAAAATGG